GCTCAAAGTCCCACCCGCTCTGCTTACTTAGAGTGCTTTACATTGTCTTCATTCATTATTCTGATCGGTATGTTGCCATATGTACTAATCCCATATCCAATCCCATATTAATGCTTGTTTCTTGGGAGTCTCATATTTTCATGAGTCATTGGGTGTTACTGAGTCAAAGTCATTCAGGAAGTGGAAAGTACAGCACATGTGCCAGTCAGTATTATACCGTGCAGGAATATGAAAACCACAGAAAAGATTTGACTCTGATGATTATGACTTTTAGCCATCCATGTTTCTGGTTTTCTGTCAAACACAACAGACAAGTATGAAAACCCAAATGGTTATTATAGAATATTTTGTTGGATTTAAGCTGACTTGAGGCTGTGCGGTGGCTGATTCCCCACACGATTACACTGTCACCCCATAAGGCAGTGGTTCCCAACCTTTTTCCTTAAGGGGCCCCTTTTTCTATCAGTGATAGAGCGAATGCAATAACTGCAGGAAGTTTGTGTAAAATAAGGAATTTGGATGAGTTTTTCTGATATTTTTAGGAACTTTTTACACAATTATCTGTCTGTTTAACAATCATACAGACTTAATAGGCTTCTTTTTTGACAAATGTAGTGTTTTCTTCTCCCTGAAGCTTGGCCTTTGTTTGATTAGCTTTGTTTTATTAACTGTGTACTTTTCTAATGCAGAAAGTGAAACACTGCCATAAGGGACTCATGCTTATATGATCCAGCTCAAAAGAAAAAGCAGATGACCTCACCAGGCATATCACTGGCTTTGATTTAAAGTCTCTGCAGACCTCTGGCGTACTTTTGAACGTAGCCCAGTCTATGGCCTCTGACCTCCAATTCTGAGCTCTGTTAACTCATCCCTGCTGGAGGTCAGTATGAACACACTTCTCACACGCTAACTTTGATACAGTCGTGATGTCAAGTGGATCTCAGATTACAGAGGAAAATCCTACCTTTCTTTCTGAACTGATCTGTCAAGGCTTTGAATAATACAGTGTGCATCTTTGTGTAGATTGTATCTGTTTTACTGAACAAAACTAGACTAACACCATACGAATGTATAGTATTTTCCGGTGATTTTTCATATATTGCTTGTTTAGAGTTTCAGGACAAACCAGAGGACTTTGTAGGAGCAGATATGTTATTATAGTGGGAATTTAAGAGATAAACTACGAGAACTACGAATAAACCCATCAGCTTGTCGTACACTGGCTTGTTTGTGAAAAGTCAGGGGGAACATAAACCGTAGCTAAAAGGCACTGATGTAACTTTTTTATCTTGGTCCAGTTTACTTTGAGCTGTATTGTGTAACAGGTGTTTAAAAATGTAGAATTAAAATCAATTTTCTTGCTGATACTCACAAAACCTGAGAGCTGAGTAAAAAGTTAGAAAACACTGTATAAAGTCCCTAAGCAGATTATCCTCATATACATTATATATTTCTATTTGGACACATACGTATGTTTGTGTTGGATTATGGCTGAAGGGTGGCAGCTTTAAAAAAGGTAGAAAATTGCGACTGCTCAGTGTATTCGCACCTCCTTCTGTGGAGCACTCACCGTTACAGTGAGTATTAACACTTTCCTCATCAGACACGGTTGGAGTGAGGTAAGGCCGGTCCATCTCCACCCATTTATTTGCTTATGCTCCAATGGAAATAAGTGTGTTGGTGGAATCAACACATGCATTTTCCTCAAACTGGCCAGTGAACAGTTTGTTCCTAGTGGTAACGTCTTCACAGGCAAGGAAAGCAACTTCTAGAAAGACCAGATTGAATACTCCAGTTATGTGGAGGGGAGTCTCATGCTTTTATTTCAGAATAGAATAAACACTGAATGTGTGTTCATAATTTTATAGAGCTTAAAGACACATTTCCTATGCTTTTCATAAGTTCCACAAACTGTAAGGAACTTCATGACATTACAGCCACACCCAGAACATCCTCTAGATGCTGAAGAAAATGTCCATTAGCTCCACTTTTTATGTTTAAAGTGATAAAATGTTGAGTGATTATGTCGTCTGTCTGTCTGTGGCATACCTGTCTGTTATGAAAGCCAGTCTTTTATTAATGACAGAAACAAGAGTCAGGGAAGCTTTTAAAAGCATCACAGGAAACAATCTGTACTTTCATCCACCCACATGAAGTCACCTTGGTGGCATGCATCAAAGAATCCCTTTGCCGCAGATGTCAGCTCTGGCCTTCCTTGACATCTCAGGCAATTGTTAAAAGCTGTGAGCGTGACATTAACATCACCCAACAATATGATTATTAGTCCTTGTCACACTGCGACTGTGAAAGGTTTTAATTCGGAAGGGTCTGTGTTGGGTTAGAGCTCGCTCACAAGGGAATATATGTAAGACATGTTTCATAAATGACGAGGGAATGTTTGGCTGTAGTTGATCAGCCCCTCTTTTTGCTTTGATGTTAACTCGCAACATATATGAATACACCAAGAACTGATTGTTGTTACCGAAGGAGAAATGGAGTCATCAATTTTAGAAGCAGTATAATCGTTCATAATTTTGGGACAGTTTTGCTGCTTATCTGATCTACATGTTCTCCCGGGACATTCAACAGCTTGTAACCCAGTGAATTTTACAGCAGTGGTTGCCTAGCAGCACCAAAACAGCGCAACGCTTTGGGAAATACTGGTGGTGTGAGTAATGACCTACAGACAACAGAACAAGGATGCAATGGGCCAGTGTTATAAATACTTCCATATGGTGCAATTTGGAGTCTCTTTTTTTGCATTTGATGATTTAAGAAACACGGTATAAATGCAGAGATAGTGCAGTACGGTGGCAGAGGTTTCTTTCCCTGACAATCAAACTGCTGTAAGAGCACAGCTTTCAACTTTGATTCACACAGATATAAGTGAGTTATATCTCACAGCATGCTGACCTCTGGAAACAAAGTCTGTTTTAGCTCACTGACAGAAAAATGTGGCAGCAATCCTCCCTTCATTTGGCCTGGACAAAGGCATTTCTAAGAGTTCAAATGCAAAGTGCTGCTGAGGGATATTTCCTGTTGACATATAGTGTGTTGTACATTTCAGTGTATATATTTTAAAGCATTCCATACAGTATACACTAATGTACTAGTGTTGATAGAGAGGAGATTGTATTTCCACGGTATGAAACCATCAGTCAAAATGTGACTCCACAAAATACTACACTGCAACTGCATTCATTGATTTTTTGATTTACATATTATCACCTTATAAAGTTAATATGACAAGCAAATAAAGAGCAACATTAGCATTTGTTCCATAGCATTAGCACAAATGTAAGTACATTTAAAATGTTCTTTTGGCTCCTTTTTGGTCTGCACCAACTATGGATGGAAAAAATGCTCCACAATGTTCACCGACTAGTTGCTGAGTGGGTAGTGTGCAATATGTTTGTTAGAGCATTTTTTACTGAAAACAGCACCCCAGTGTCTGGAAACATGAGCTCAAAGAGACTAAAAGGGTGATAATTCTCTGTGGGTTCATCAATATGAACGACATCTTCGCTTCACACAGTTACAGTTTATCAAATGTAAATATAAAAATATTACTGAGGCTTTAATAATAAAACTATTGATTCATGTGGCTTTAAGACATAAAATGCTGGAATTTTAATACGTACTTTCTTAAAGTCATTTAGTCAGTGTAACTGCACTACATTTTTTAAAACAGGGTTTGTGTATAGTATGCAGTTGCAAAGGCGAAATCCTCACTTGGGGGACTAAATGGGGAGTGAGAATGAGAAAGTGAGTGTGTGTGACAACAGCTAACATTATGGAGGTTGGCTGCTTGCCAAGTTCTGTAAACTTTTTTTTTTCCCCCAGATAAACTGAAATAATGAACTTCAACACAACACATGACATGCTGCTAGTAATATTGTAAGCAAGTGCTGTTTGAGTAATACGATGTCTTGGTTCTCACCATGAACCCGCATATTTTGTCTCAGTTGTTCCTTTTTACCGGAAGGTGTGCACTCACATATACTCTCACACATACACACATTCATATGGACTATCTTATGCCACCACACTTACTCACACGACATGAAAGTATGAGCTTGTACCTGTTTCGATGGATTTCTGTGGGGCTCATATGTCTGTCTTTTGTACATTGAGGGGGCCTTTCATGAACTCATGCAAAGTGTTTTTCCCATCAGCTACATCTAAACGTGGCACATGTACTCTGTGAGTGTGGCTGTGAGAGTGTTGGTAACAGAAATGAACTCATGAGCCATGTCATTGGCTGCGTTTGCTGAATGAATGCTGCTAATTTTATTTTGTTGTTGTGGGACAGTTACATTCATGGCACTATGTCATTGCTCTTAGTTCAACAGCATTCACATTTTCAACCTTTGCCAGAAGGCTGTCTTACACATTCTTTTCTGAGAGATTTGTGAGTTTATTTGTTATATTTGGTGAGCCTTCTTGCCAAGATGGCTCACAGACAACACGTCATATTTATCAGCTGTCGAGACAGTGGGATGTAAATTGACACAGTATGTAATCAGTCATTAATTAACCATCTTCAAGAAGAATTTGCATGGTTTAAATCACTTTAGCAATGGATGTTACTCAAACCACACTATGTTTAAAAGTGCCATTTCAATGTAAAAACAAAAGGGAAAGGGGAAAAAGGTGCCCTGCTACTCCTTGATATGCTTAAAACGAAAACCGAAAGAAATATACAGAGAGCTGAAATATTCGGAAAAGGGCCCTACAGAGGTAGATGGAGAAATGGCAAAATGTAGGAAAAGGTAAGGAGAAAATCCCTCTCCAGCTTTGTGACATCATCCTCCCCACTGCTCACATCCAGACCAAACAGGGCTATGTGTCTGGTTTTCATTTACTTATTTTCTCCCCCTCCACTCACCCTCTCTTTTCCTTTTTTTCCCTCCTTTCTTTAGAGAAAGTGGGAGGAGGAAGAGAGAGGTGGCAGAACTCCAGGAGTTTGGAAGTTTGTCCCATCCCAGCCTTGAACTCAGCACCACAGCTCCTCTGGTTTGAGACCGGGCGGGTGTCTGTCTCTTTCTGTCTCAACCATTCCTCCTTTCACTCAGGACCCCTCTTTCTGCACATCTCTAATCAGTGCCTGTATCACTGCCTTGCTCAGCAGCCTTCCTTTGGGAGGTGCTGGAAAAGCCAGCAAGGGGAATTTACCACGAGGATAATGACCATATGTCCAGCTTGCAGTAATTCTTCATAACAGATTAATTTTCTTTTTCTTCAGAAACAAATACAGTGGAGTACAGCTACTTCAGCTTAGGGTAAGTTTTGAATCTGCTCTGTTCTGATTCATCTTGCAGAAAAAGGTTTCTTCGTTTTCTTTTACAAATGCATTCTTGCCTCATTTCTCAGTTTTTACTCCTTTAAGGATTGACCTTGTTTGCACTTTGACGTGATTATAAATAGTGCATTGACCATAGCATAGTTTCTAGTCATAACATGTAAGCTTATGATGGGTGTCATAATCACAGGGTTGCAAAGAGTTTTTGGCTTATAGCTCATAAATATCAGACAGCATGCGTTTAGCAGCATGGCTGAAGCCTATACTTTAGTGGTGAGAGTGCTGCAAGGGCAAGAGGTGAGCCGCAGTTAGGGTGAAGAAGGCGACCTCAGCAATGTTATGTAGCTGCATGTGAGTGTAGAGGGGTGTGTTTGCTGCTTTCTTCTCTTCAAAAGTCTTAAAATGCTACACTTCTGTTTGAAATGTAAGTTTAATTTACTGCACAGGTGTCAAGTAATTGTGGTGAGAGAAAACAGTGAAATCCCTAAAATGCTAAGTTTAAAGTCTCAAACTGTGATCTCAGTGTTAGAGCTGTGATCCTGTACCCTGTTGCTTTGTGCTTAGTAATATCAAATTGTCAAAGATTTGTAATGTCTATGCTCCATTTGTAAGAAAGTGTAATTAATACATCATGTAATGCAACAGATTATGTAAGTCTTCTATCAAAATTTTCCATTGATCATCTTTCAATAGCTAATTTTCGGGCTCTCTGTTAGTATTTTGGAATGATCTTTTGCTCATTCAATTAAATCTAAATTGGGAATCTGTTGGTAATGGTACAATCACATCCAAATGTTTCAAATCTGCACACCCACATGTGAGCTCTAAAGAAGAGTAGTGGATGGGTAGATGTTTCCACTGCAGCAGAAGCCCAAAACCACACCCTCTCTGAGACGAGTACAGGAGTGGAAAAGTGTGAAGAAAGCGTTTTCCACACTACTGGCCAGATGAACCAGGAGAACCAGAAGGGGTTTGGTCCATTGGACAAAAGTGGGGTGGGTGGGTGGGTGGCGGTGGTGGTAGTGGGCTACAGGGTTTAGTGGACCAGGTGTGAGCCATTAATCTTCTCCTACAAGAGTCTCCAAGCAGGGACAGAGGAATTCAGCTGGGTCTTCATTGCAGTGTTTTATTGTGAGCATGTGGGATTTGACGCACAAATTGGGTTATTTTATCCATCTAAGGAACAACTTAATGACATTATGTTGGACATTTGTCATAAGTATTTCTCATGAGCTACTGCTTCCACGTAGTTTTATGTTTGCATGTAACCCGTTGCTAGGATACAGAGAGGAAGAACTTGGTCGTTGTTCAAAAGGGAGAGGAAACTTGGTGTGTGCTCCAAATTTGGTTTTATGTTTTTGAAGTATTTTCACATAATTTACTACCTGCATTAGGACAATGCTACAGCTCCCCTTGGAAGCTGGTATATAAATTGTTATTGGCAGGGCTGCATCAGGAGGATTCTTAACAAAGCATTTTTAGATATACTGTATAAATCAGCATTAGTGTGTTTTATGAGTACTCCACTCTCTCCAGCTTTTTGTCTTTTTTCCATGATGCGGCACAGATGTCTGGAAGGTTGGGACATTTTTCAGAAAGGTCTTGTCTCAGTCGACTACTCCTCCAATGTTCTCTTTTTAAGGACACAGCCATCTATAATTGCAAGGGATGTAAATCAGAGTTTATGCTGTTTTGCATTGCTTTAATGTTTAACGTTTGTGCCTGGTGATTTTGCCATTTGCCATTCTGAGGTGTTGATTGACTCATTGATAAGATCACAGGGCCCCTAAGTATCTAAAAGGTGTATAGGGAGAAAAAAAATTGCTCTTAGAAATGAACTCACCTTACTAACTGATCTCACTGAGTGTCAGGTTTAATACTTTGACTCAGCCAGCCTGCAGGCTTAGACTGGCCACGATGCTTGAACACACATCTGCTTGGTGTCAGACGGACTAATAGACACCAGCTGTGTGGAACTGCCCGCCCAACCTGCCTCCTCCTCTTTTAACTTTATCATTGATCCTTTTCTCATCTGTACCGCACATGTCACGTCACGACATGACCCTTCCAAGTTGAAGGGTGGGTTGGGACTGCAGGTCCACACAGCCACATGATGGATTCATACATGTGGAGGCTAACACGTACTGTATGTACAAGTGATATTTCCTCGCAGGATGCCAGTGAGTGGCAGTGTAGAGCTGCATTAGGAAGTAGAAATGACTCACATCCCTTGTGACTTCACTTATTTTACTGATCTCTTTTCTCAGATTCATGCAAATTGTCTTCATTAAGTGTTGTTGACAGTATAATTGAAATGCACAAGGTTTCAGTCTGTGTTGAGTGTTAAGGGAGCTGCTAAAGTTGAGCCTATTTGACAGTATGATCTATTAAAAGCAGAGCATAATGTGTGGTTTGCACATTGAGGTTCCTTATTAGATGCTTGGAGAAATTCCAGTTACTTAAACTGTGCAATTCAGTAATTTCCTCTGTACAAGTGTATACGTGTGTGTGTGCAAGCTTTACTTCAAACACCATTTTCTTGTGTTATAATTAATGACCCAATTAAAAAGTACAGTGAAATAACAAACAGCATCTGCAAGTGGAAGGGTCTTCAATAATTTTCTGATTATGATGAATTTCGGCTACACTGTGGCTGAGGAGTTAGGTTCCAAAGGAAATGCAGCTGTGCCAGTGTGGCAGGGTCTCCTCTGGTATTTGCACTGAGTGATGCCTTGGAACATAAATCACAAAAGCAGAAAAATTACTTTTTCATTCAGTTCGTAGAGAATGCTTCAGTTCTCCTTTATTCCAGTTTCTCTGTGTAAGGCAAGGATAAGTATTGAACATATTTAATATTTATTAGACTTATAGAATCTATATTCATAAAAAAATGACTATTTTACTTTAAAATGACAAAAGCCAAAAGATTAGAAACACAACTCACTCAAAAAAAATTCCTCTTTTTCTTAACCTGCAAAAACAGGCCAGTTAGAGGCAAAATCCCCTTTTAGGTTGATATGGCAAACTTCACACAATCAGAGCTACATTTATTTATGAATGAATGAATATAAGTGACATATTCTCTCCTTTAAGCTCTGTTTTGGTCTCTGCTGACCCCTAAATGAAATATCTGACTCTTTAGCTGCTAAATGCTTTGGTGGCAGGTAGTGTGCAGAAGGTTTTTTCAGAGCTGAAAAGGCTGCCTGCCATGGCAAAACAGTGAAGTTGCAGGCCAGAAAACTAAATCAATTAGCTGAAAGATGCTAAAACAGCACATGGAGAGCAGAGTTTGAAGATCATTTTCTGTGGGTTAGCTACTACAAGCGGCTCCTTTCACATAGAATTAGTCATGTGGTCCACTGTTAACAGAATAATTCTGAGGCAGGTAAAATATGGGTGGCATATGTTTGTAGTTATTTTCTTAGAACTGTTGCATCAATAATGCATTTTTATATTTGAGTGTGAGGAGGCAAGTGTTTCTATCTTGTTGCTTTAGCTCAGAGACACATTTTTTGACTTCAGAGGTGCTCTGAAAGTGCTTAAACCTGTGTGAAAATGTAGCTCGTTTTGTTTTGTGTGAGGTGAGCCGTGTCCTTCTCCCTAACATCAGAGGTCCCCTTTCTGTCGTTGGTGTAACGGCAATCAATAAACTCTGGTATCCGTCACTGATACTGACAGAGTTTTGTGCTGGCACGGCACTGTAAGCTCGTGTGAGTTTATATATGTGCATGTTTATGTGTATGTGTGTGTGTGTGTGTGGTCTTTGCTATAAATGAGTGTGTGAGGTCCAGCTGCCAACATGCTTCAGAGTGCTCATGTGCGCGTTGCAATGTCTGTCTTGCTGTGTAAATGCAAACTGCCACTGCTGGCTATAAATTGTACCACTGAGAAAGACATACTGCTGTATACAGTGTGCTGGGAAGTATGTTCTGCTCATTGTATAACATAAAGTGCACACTGAACTCTCTTTGAAGCATGTCACTTCACACTGGTGACACATAAAGATTCAGTGGTGACTCAGCATATTATACAGACACACATTGGTGGACCTCAGCAGGAGGAAAAAAGGACATATTAACAGCTCATAACCCCTCATCCTCTGCACCCACTTCTTATCATTAAACTATCATGATATTCGACACATATGGCGGTCTCTGCTGTGCTACAGGAATGCTACATGATAGATGTACCTGGACGGGCCATGCATATCTTTAGCTCCTTAAAGATGTGTGAGATTTAAAAAATTCTGGCTTTGGAGACTCCTAGTGGTAGTAGCAAAAAATACATCCTAACAGACTGGAGTGCATGCTGATATCCCCTAAGCTCAAGATCTTACCTGGGGCCACTAATATGGGATGAAAGCTTCACAAAGACTACACTGTTTGTTGCCATTTGCTAATTCTTCTCCAAATAAAAAGTTAAATACAAAGATGACGACATGTGGCTGAATGCTGCGTGCCCTTTCTGAAAGAAGAGCAGCTTAACAATGGAGTTATTGAGTTATCGAGGAATGCCAGAATGCATGTTTGGTGCAGATGCTTTGGGCTGAGACCTAATAATCGTTTTAGGATGCTGACAGAGATTCAGATTTATACCACAGAGTAAGGGAATTAAGAGTTCCTTTTCTCTCCCATTCAGGGGCGTAGCACAAAACTGGACCCTGTAAATTCTCTATGGGCACCTCCCCAAATTCACAAGTATTCAATCTAATATCTTTACCCCCCAGTCTGGAGCCCCTGCTGCCATTGCACTGTCCCGCATGCAAAATTTTAAAGCTGCACAATATGCTTTTGTATTTAAACTTCACTTACATGTTTACCCATGGCTTAAATGAGTAGTAGTGACTAACCCACACATAATTATCAACCAACTCTGCAGCTGATAATTCTCAACAAACCATTTTTATGTCTTTTAGCTCAATGTTTTGTTTTATGTCTTGAAATGTACTGTTTTTGTTCAGTCTCACCACTCTCATTAATCTAATTTCCAGCAGCAGCAGGCAGCTGTTAACCATGAAAAACCTCACCCAAAGACAAAGCTAGCAACCAGCTGGTGAACATAGTAGAGTGTTATCAGCTAAAGAGAAAGATGTTTCCCTCAGGAGTTGTTGAAGACCAAACCCTTGCCATAAGCACAGTTCAAATAAATGCTAATGTTGCTCTGTGTCTATACTTAATGTGTTAAGAGGCAACTGTTTGTCATAACAGCTTTACTTTAGGTGATATATCAAACATGTGTATGATGTTCAGCTAAGGTTGTACTCCCAAATGGCGAAAAAATATGAATGCAGCTTGAAGATAATGAAGTAATTTGGAGCCAGAGTATTTTTACTTTCTTTCGTAATTTTCTCTCCAATGTAATTCCCCATGCTGCCATTGTTTTGGCTGCTCCTATCAGTGAAAACAGGACTCCACTGTGCTACTATGTTTTCCTCTGTGGCAGTGAGGGGAAGCCATAGTGTTGACACATTGGCCAGGCCTGGCAAACTCTGCAGAGAAGTGGCTTTTGAGTGACCTGAAATCACATGAGCATGAGTAGAGAACACAAACATCTGTTGCAGTGTCCAAGAGAACTTAGATTTCCTTGAAATTAAGGAACTTAGTGATTTAGGCCCTATATCTGGATAGTGACACACTGCAGGGACACACATTTTTCACTGTAAGTGTGGATTCTGTTCAGAGGATACTTTTTAAATCTCTTTACTTTGTTGAAATGTATTCTCTAAGCACTTTATATGTTTCTTTTATAATGAAAGGATTATCACACCATGCATTGGGCACTATAGAACGACCCCACCCACTGGCACTGATATTTTGTGTGACATGAATCTGCAGCTTCCTAATATTTTCAGTGCAGTAACTTTCCACAATCCTCCACTGTTTGTGAGGTTTTGTCTGGTCAGTGAGTTGTGATGGTACACACTGATGGGCCTGTCTAAAAAGTGAGTACAAATGAACGGTTGCAGTTTTTTTCAATATTCTCATCTCCAAAGTGTGGTCTGCATAAACAGTGAACACAGCAAAGCATAAACACGATGACTCTGACAAATGTAAGGCACGGCAGCGTTGCATTAAATAGGACAGCCATGTTTATCATTCATTATTGCTGTGTGTTGTGGATGGCTTAGATTCAAAACTAGCTGACCCAGGCTTTCCTATCCTTGTGAAAGGGTCTCTTTTACTCCACATCAAAAAATCCTGAAGTGCACATTTAGTCAAGATCAGAGGGTGACTTGGTCCAGAATCCACTGTTGACAGGGACATTTTCCACAGCTTAGAGTTAATAATGTTGGTTGTTGACCAAGATTTAAAATCAGACGCAAAAATGACTTCAGCATGTTCATGTTACATTTCAGTATAAGACATGTACAGCCTGCAGCTTGTGTTATTTCTGCCTGTGTTTTATTTGCGTTGCTGGTCAGAATTCCTTCTCCTTTAGTTTTTGTTTTTGATAGATACAATGAGAGGCACAATTAGCGATTGGAAAGAAAAACTCTAAAGTATTTACAATATATGTGCCAAAATTGATTTTGTTCTTATTACTGACAAGGTTTTTCCTAATGGATGTAGCTTAAAGTTTAGGGATGCGGGCTTATGACTGGAGGGTTGCCAGTTGGATCCCTGAACGTGCAGGAGTGGGGTTGTGCCATTGAGCAAGACCCTGAACCCCCAAATGGTTGTGCTGGGAAGCTTATGACAATGTGTGTTGGAATGTGTTGTTTTAGGTGTGTCTAAACAATAAAATCGAGCCTCCGCACATGTAGCACCACTGGTGGAGCAGGGGCCCATATTCAACCCCACGGAAAATTATTGTTAATCAGAAAAAGCACAAAATAGGATGGATGGAAAATTAATTGACATACTATATTTATTTTAAAGCCTCACAAGTGAATTTTTTTAACATACATACATACATACATACATATCCCATTAAATAAGCTCATGATAACTTATGAACAATACATATATTATATGCTGCTTACTTCTAAAAAAAGCAGGATCTGTCAGACTGTTATACCTACATTTTCCACTAGAGGGCATTAGTCATTTTCAGAGTTTTCACAGTTGTGCCAGCTTTATCCATGATGCCCCTCTCCATCATCACAAAGGCACATTTGATAAAGTGCAACTTCATGCACATTCTTGAAGTTCTTTCTTTTATTCCCAGTAAAGTCAACATACAGTAAATCTCTAATTACCCACATACCACTTTTCATGCAGTGCACATTAGAACTGCCCTTAATGCTGAGCTTTTATTGTGTGTGCAGCAGCAGGCACAGAGGCTCTTAAAGAGACTCCTCTGGGACTCCAAGAGTTATTTACCTTCACTCCCCCATCATTACTTTAATGGTGAAAACACTGGTCACTGGCCATGTGTGCCAGCTCAGGCTATTTTATTTTTCAGTCGTTATATAGTTGTTTGAAAAATGTTGTTTGCTTCAGTGTGTTTAAATGTAACTGCTTTTGTGCTACTGCTTTGCTGTTCTTGAGACTTTTTGGACCTATTTTATCACCTCAGGGTGGTCTGAAATTTAATAGGTTAGGTGTGTGTTCTCTTGGCTGTCTACCATTGTGAGGTGTAGACCAAGAGAGTGAGGTAGGTGAAGGTAATCCTCACTCCAAAGGGCTGCTTAAGGGTTAAGATAATGATACAAAAGTTTATTAAGTCTTTAAAGGGTGCCAGTAAGGGGATAAAACAATGATCCCAGCCTCTCATCCTCACTATACTATCATGTGATCTACCCTCTAGGCTGTGATCATCCCTAATAGCTTTTTTTGTGTGTGTGTTTTTAACCTGCTTGAAGAAAATTTGACTTTGGCTGATACAACAGAGGTTATCTGAGTTAAGATTAGACTGAATGTTTGAAGTGTTTCCTGTACTATCGGAAAAATAAGCACAAACGTATACATACATGTACACTTACTCTATGAACTAAATTCATAAGGTCATTAGTGAGTCATGAGTCACCTTCCTTTCATTTCCTCTGACATTACTTAACATCACAATGGAGGAAAATCTGACTAAACAAGAAACACACACCCCTGCTGTGGAACTGGACTTTCCAGTCCTCTTAAGAAGGCATTATTTTGTGAGTTGGAAAATATGGTGCTTGCCGAGCAGAGTTAATTACTAAAGCACATTGGCTGGTAGTTTTAACAGGTGGTTTTGATCATTGCAACTCTTCAGGTCTGCTACTGATGTACCAACACATGCTGCAGCTCCCTCACTTTACTATCCAAAAGCAAAATGTAAGAGAAGTGCTGGTGATTCAATTTTCTTTCTTTTTTTTATAGCTGCCTTTCATGCCAGATATCATGCCTGTTTTAAAGCCTGGGCAGGATGTACATGCTTTCCACTGCCTGAGGTTGTGAAAAATTAAAAAGGCACATCCCAGTGTGAAGGAACTGGGACATGGTGACACTTAAGCAGCGCTAACAGTAGAATATATCATGCACACACAGCAGAAAATGTTGACAAGAGACATGTTTTTCATTTGTGTGGCATGTCGGATGTTAAATGTTATACTCTCGGGCCAATAAAAACAAGCTTATGCAATGTTGTGTGTTATATTTAGAGGCAGTGCAGCAAAAATAGGGAGTGCAAAAAAGACCCTACAAGTCGAACTTGTATGAACTGTGTGTGAAAGCATGATAACATGATTTTAAACATGATATTAAAAAAGAAACAGCCCTTGGAGCATGTTTATGTAAAATGTACAATAGACACAGTAAATACATTTTACTTCATTTGACATTTACACAAGCCTGTCTTGGCTGGTTGGTCTTTGCTCGGTTTATTTGTATTGTTTTCATGCAATTTTCCTGCGCAGGAACACAAAGTGTTGTCCAAATGTCATATCGCACAGCTAATCTATGCCTTGTGGTAAAAGGGCAGGGCTCCTTTAGTCCTTCTGTTTTTTTATTCATATCATGTTTCTTTCTGGTTTCACAGGTGTCCCCTTTGCTGTCTTTGGTGATAGAAGATGAAGAGGCATCGGTTGTTACCGCTATGTGCCCTCCTGGGTGTCCTGTTTGCAGGACTCTTGCCTAACCTTGATGCTCAGGATGGTAAGTTGAACTAAGTTGATCTCAGCTCCTGTCAACAGGGTGTGCTCATTTTGCAGTTTCAGCAATGCTCAGTGGGGTTTTTTTATATTTCTTTTATATTATTACTCTCCTTAAAATATCTAACCTACATCTGAAGAAAAGGGGGGTTTATAGAAGTGCTTATGACATCCTAACAAAAACAAAGTACATTTAGGTAGATATGGTAACAGTTTTTCTTTTATAATGAGCATTGTTGGTAAACAAATTATTCAATTATTGTAATTTTTTATACAATGTATTTAAATACTGTATCTCAACATGGGACAAAAACAAAATAGAGGCCTCAGGAATGGTAGAGGAGTACAAAGTCCAGTCAGATTATTTTGATAAGCAATGCAGAATGATGCTTTCAAATGTAGAATTATATATTTTGGCACTAAAACAATATTATGGAACCAAACACCAAGCATCTTTTCATTGGTCTTCACTTCTGTCCTCCAAACACTCTCTTTTGAAGATTGTGCACAAGGGTTGGCAGCTGATATATACTTTCTAGTGGATTCATCCTGGAGTATTGGAGAGGAGAACTTTGAGCATGTAAGACAATTTTTGTACAGCGTGACACAAGCGCTGCACCAGGTTGGAGGGGGCAGGTTTAAATTTGCCCTTGTGCAGTACAATAACAAGCCTGAAACTGAGTTCCAGCTCAACACCTACCTGACAACACAGGGAGTCTTGGCACACATCAAGGCTATGTCTTACCGTGGGGGGGGCACCAAGACTGGCCTGGGCCTGGATTTCCTGATTCAAACACACTTGACCACTGCTTCGGGCAGCCGTGCTGTTGAAGGAGTGGCCCAAGTGGTGGTGGTGCTAACAGATGGGCGTTCCCAGGATGACGTGGCCGTGCCAGCTGAGGTGCTGCGGCTGGCAGGTGTACAGGTGTTTGCAGTTGGAGTTCAGGATGCAGTGGACTCTGAGCTCAGGGAAATGGCTAGCCAGCCCTATGACGCTCATGTGTTTAATGTAGAAACTTTCTTGACTTTGCGGGATATAATACAAGATTTGGTAGTGGGGCTTTGCGGCGCAGTGACCCGGTCAGGGGGTGCTCCTGTGGCAAACGAGGCCCCTGTGGCTGGAGAAGGGACAGGTAATGAAATGGGACCAGTGTCACTACCATACTAATGTGTCTACATGTGCGGGAAGAAGCTACTGCATATGTGGACGTGACTGGATTTTATTATTAACACAATCAAGTGTTTTTTAACAACCTTATAATAACCTTTCACTATCCACCTGCAAAATTAACATCACTTGTTTTGTCTTAATACACCCTTAATGCTTTAAAAATCACAATAAGACATGCATGTGATTGACACCCGTACAACATCTTGAATTAGGGTGTTAAGTAGGATGTAAACATATATGTTCGTGCACAGCCAGAACAGATACAATGAGTTTGGCTTGAGAGAGAGATATTTAAGCAATGTGAAAGTTCTGTACCAGGTGCCTTTAAATTTGGTAGTGATTTGAGCTCTGTGTTGGCATACAGCAGTAACCTCAGTCATAATTTAACACACTTTTTTCAGACGATGCCTGTTTTATTAGATACAGCTGTAGGTGAGAGGACACATATACAGACAGCAACAGAAAAAAAATCATATAGTGACACCTCAGATTAACAAGATTCCTTCACAAAACCTTTGAAAAGAACATGGTCTCGGGGAGGCTTTACCCTTTAAAACATCACATCTCAAAATCAAACAATGAGCTTTTAACAATAGCTAACCGCACAACTGCTTTGTGTCTTGCATTTTGTATGTTTGTCTTTATCAGTCACAATGTCTTTCTGTGTAAAATATGTGCAATATTCTGTATTTGAAACAGTGATGAACCTGCCTGAACTCATCCTTGACCTGCAGAAGAAGTACTTTGAGAATGTTGTACATGCAGATGTCCAGAAATGATTAAATATGTTAAGTTATTGGCATGAAAATACATTGATTAAATAACACTGACAAATTAAAATGAATTGGAAACATAAATTTACTCGCTTTACATGAATGTAAAGTACATGGACATGTATTATATTCTCAAGTACTGAAAACTTGTAGGCACCAAGGATAGGCCACAGGATCATAACTGGTCACTTTATCAGAGGTCCGTAACAAGAGTCTGCATGGGAAGGCTGAACTCAATGGAGCTTATACAAGAAACATATCACACAAATTAAATAAGGAACTTTGTAAAATGTAAAAACAGCTTAATTTTTCTTTCATGCATTGATTTTCTTTTGACTTGCAGATGTCATCACAGTATGGCGTACCCTTAGTTATGAGTTTTATTTTTCTTAAAATTTTGAATATAATCTGACCAATTTTTTGCGGTGCCATATTATAGTTATATATAATTAGGGTATTAATAATTACAATGTATAACAATAATAAAGATAATCTATACCGCAACAATTACCCTCTTGTTATACATTATTCCATGTATTACACATTTACTTACTAAAGACCTCAATAATTTCACACAATATACTGATTTAAAAATTATTTTATTGCTTACACTGTGGTCCTCCAGAGTGAATGGTCAGAACTGCATCCACAGCGATGATCTGCTAATTAGAAATAACAGACGTAGAATGTCATAACTGACCAGAAAATCAAGTATTCAACAAAGCTGTGTAATAAACAATTATAATAGTATAATAGTAACTTTTAATAAAAAATGTGGGAAAACATTAGTTTTTCCCACATTGGAATACATTTTGAATAAACTGGAATACATTTTTAGTCTCATTAAACTGTGTTGACCATACAGGATGTGGACAATTAACTAAATTATACTTCGAAGCTAGTATCAGGGTTTAGTATTCATATTGACAACAACACCACTATACCATACTTAATCAGTCACCCTTATGGTACTGTAATCCATATCCAACCCAAAAAACCTTCATTATAGGAAAAAATCACACTCTAGACAAAGGAGTTCTACATGTAGGTTAAAATAATCATCAAATTACATCACTTTTTGAAATCTCCTTGGTTCAGCCTACATGCAGTATGATGTGTTTTGCAATGTTGTTATTGATTTGTTCACTTTGAATGTCACTTGACACATGCAATGATATGCTAGCACGAGTTCTTGTCTCTGTCTCACTATGTTAACGCTTTCACAAGTTCCATTTTGTTTTGTTTTCTCTCTCTCTCCTTAAAGCGCAAGATTCAGCTGACCTAGTACTCTTAATTGATGGATCACAGAACGTTGGAGCAGCAAACTTCCCCTATGTGCGTGATTTGGTTTTGAGAATCATTGAGCGCCTTGATGTGGGCAGGGACACTGTTCGCGTTGCCTTGGCCCTGTACAACACCAACACAGAGATAAAGTTCTATCTAAATAGCTTTGAGAGCAAATCATCAGTCTTGGACGCTGTGAAGGGCCTGGCCTTCCCAGGGGGCGACGAGTCTAACCTGGGGGCTGCCTTGGAGGAAGTGGCCGAGAGCCTTTTGAGCGAAACAGCTGGGGGCAGGGCAGAGGAGGATGTGCCCCAGATGTTGGTGATTATCAGTGCTGGGCCATCCACTGATGATACTGGTGCCGGTGACCGGGCCCTTAAGAGGGCCAAAGTTATTACATTCGGCGTGGCAATTGGTGACACTGCCACTGCAGATCTGGAAGCAGTTGCTACAGATAAAAGTTTTGTCCTGTCAGCCCCTGATTTCAGAGCAGTAGCAAGAATGGGTGACCAGCTGCTCCCATACATTAACGGGGTGGTCCAGCGCACCATTATAATTCAGAATACGTTCACAGAAGGTATGTAACTTCTCTGTAAGTGTTGACGTGGCATTGTGGTTGTGGAAGGGGAGTTAAAAACATATAATCCCAAAGAGTTCATAATAAACGTATAATGTAGTGTGCAAGGTAAGATATGGATGTGGTACACCAATGACAGAGGTGGCAATAACACAGTAAAGGTGAGAAGTACTCTTTTTAATGATCTGTACTTTTTGACATCTAAAAAGTTCCATTAATGAATCGTGACAGTAACATATATTCTGCTAAGAATGAGATGCCTTTCAGAACCTAGTTTATTAAATAGCATATTTTAAGCAGTGATAGGACATCATCTTAGCTACTGCAAACAATGGAAAATAGTATCACAAATTTTTATTAAAAAACACATGATAAGGGAATATCTCTAACCTACTCCATTGTGCCATTTTTACAATTGGAATTTAAGCTGCATTAGGCTCATTTTAATACCTATAAAGCAAAAATGACAGGGTTATACTTGTACTCGTATGTTGATGACATTCTGTCACACATTTACCTTGACCACACATAAAAAATATCTGGGTCTGTTTGCCATGACAAATATCTGACCTCTAAACAGCCACTGGTTAGTGCTAGAGTAGCCTACAGCTGGTTGGTATGAGCTTGGGTGACTGGACATGATGCCCACAGTTTTTTATGGGGAATCTGACTTACAATACAGACTTCAGACCCAAGTCAGTGATCTGAAAAAGTGCACAGAATGGTTTGTGCCCATATCACATCATATATTCCCAAACATATTACTTGACAACGTAAAGTATTTCGTACAAATTCCTGTATTCAAGTAAATTATTTGTGTGATTCCAAAATGGGTGGCTTTTTGTGTTGTCAAACTTAAAACAAAAGAAAGTTCCAACAAATACAGAACAAATACATTGTAATGTACATGGCCTAACTATAGACCTAAGTTCAATAAGTTAATAAAGTTAAATTAAATTATAAATAAAATTGTTTTATGAACTAAATGAATGACCAATAAAAAGAAATGACTATCATGAAGACTATCATTGTATTCATATTGTAAGCTTAATTGATACCTTAAAGGGTAGCATATAGTGTGTCCATATACAACTATTAAAACATTAAAAATAGTCCAATTGTATTTGTATTGCGCCAAATCATAACAAATGCTATCTCAGGACACCTTTAAAATAGAGCAGGTATAGACCGTACTTCTTATAAAAGTATTTACAGAGACCTAACAATTCCTACCATGAGCGAGCACTTGGCAACAGTGGCAAGGAAAATCTTCCTTTTAAGAGGCAGAAACCTCAAGGAGACCCCCAGCTCTAGGCGTTCCTTTTTTTTATAGTATGTCAACAGTAGTTAACACATATTCCAAACAGCTTAATATAAATATAAACCTTTTTTTTGCCTTTAGTACTTATAAATTTCTAAAAATTATATTTTATTCTCATGTTTTTTCTTTTCTTTTCAGTCTTGACAGTTGGAAAACGAGACGTGATTTTCCTAATCGACAATACGATGGGTCCAAATGTCGTCAATGCCATACGCGAATTCATCAGGCGGTTCGTCGACTCCATGCCAATTGGTCCAGACGGAGTTCAAGTCGGTGTCGCCCAGTTCAGCAATGTCCCTCGACTAGAGATAGATCTCAACTCTTATGGAACCAGGGAAGAATTAATTGCTGCTTTGGGTGGGATCAAACCAAGAGCCGCTCAGCCAATCAACCTTGGAGCAGCTTTGGACTTTGTGCGGACGAATATGCTGCTAGCTGAGAAAGGCAGTCGAATTCAGCAGGGGGTACCCCAACTTGTACTCTTGATGACCGGTAAAAAGTCCAGCGACAGTGTTGAAGAACCTGCTAAGGCCCTCCAGCGAATGGGCGTACTAGCTCTAGCTGCAGGCTTCAAGTCTGCAGATGAAGAAGAAATGAAGCAGATTGCCTTCACTGAGAGTGTGGTGTACATGGTGAGGGACATACGCGGACTGAGAAGCCGACGAGACGAAATGGTTAATGCACTCTCCACACTGGCTGGGGTGGTGGTGACTGAAGGACCCACCGAGCCTGGTAAGTGTAAGGTCATTCAGTACATTTAATGATTAATTCAATTAATTTTCAGATCTTTGAAATGGAAATATATAGATGAGTGATAAATTGAAAGAAAACCTTGAATAAATAACAAATGCAGATGCGTGCATGCAGAGTCTACCACCTTGACTTTCAGCTTGCAGTGAGGGGGTACTTGTCTGCAAGTGCCCAAAACAGTGAATCAACTTCATAGCATGTGTAGATAAACATTTTTATGTTTTGGTGTTTTTCTTAGGGGTGGACGTAACCACAGTGCACACTCAAAGAGTGGTCAGAGACATTGTCTTCCTTGTGGATGGCTCAAACTACATTGGCAGCAGTAACTTACCCTATGTGAGAGACTTCATCATCAACGTGGTCAACCAGCTGGATGTACGTCCTGACAGGGTCCAGATTGGTCTCATGCAGTTTGCCGAACGTCCAAGAGTTGAATTTTATCTGAACAGCCAAAACAACAGGCAAGATGTTGTGAATAAAGTCTCTCAACTCAGGCTAACTGGAGGCTCAGTTTTGAATACAGGAGCTGCCATGAATCAAGCCCTCACCATGTTCCAGCCATCAACTGGCTCACGCAGGAAGCAGGGAGTACAGCAGGTATTGGTTCTGATCACAGGTGGACCAGCCCAGGATGAGGTTAAAAGCATAGCTGATAAATTGGCTCTGTCTGGTGTTTTGACCTTCACGGTCAGTTCTGGCCAAGCAGATGACGCCTTACTGAGGACAGTTGCCTTTGTTCCAGACTTGGCTTACCATGAAACAAGTTTCTCTAATCTACCAGCTATGGCTGAGCTAATCATGCCAAAGTTGATAACAGTGGTTGGTGATACAGATGTGACAACCTTCCCTGAGGAAACTGGTGAGTGTAGTATTTCGCTGTTTTCCCTAATGAAAAGAATGTGATGTAATTAAAAGTTTGCCTGGTAATAATAATAATAATTGTTATTTTTTGTCCCCCCCCCAGTTGTTGGAGGTGAAAGGGATGTTGCCTTCCTCATTGATGGCACAGATAATGTTCGAGCAGATTTTGGCTACATCCGGGATTTTATCATTAAAGTAATTGAACCACTTGACATTGGGACTGACAAGGTACGAATTTCAGTGGTTCAACACAGCGAGAGGGCTACTCCAAATTTCTACCTTAACACTTACCAAACCAAAGATGAGGTGCTAAGAGCTGTCAACGGAATGACACTGGCTGGTGGACGTAGTCTAAACACAGGATCTGCTCTAAGATTCATGAAGGACACCATCTTGTCTGAAAGGTATGGTAGCCGGGCTGCGCAAAATGTCCCTCAGTTTCTGATTGTGTTGGCTGGAAGCAGGTCCAGGGATAACGTGAAGGAATCTGCTGGTGCACTGAAAACAGAGGGAGTCGTACCATTTGGCGTCGGTGTCAAGGATGCAGACCCAAGGCAGATTGAGGCCATTTCACACAACCCTTCCTTTGCCTTCAATGTGAAAGAATTCAGTGAACTTAGCACCATACCCCAAAGACTCAATAACTACGTGAGCCTTCCAAAGGAGGAGCTGACCCTAGTCCTACAACAAGGTAGGAAAAATCTCTTTTGTTATTGGCGTGTTGAACTTGCTTTAAGAAAATCGTTTCTACTGATGTTACTGATGAATCTTATTTGTTGTGTCTTAGTACAAAGCAATGAAGTAAAAAGAGATATTGTGTTTCTACTGGATGGCTCTGATAACACAAGAAATGGATTCCCAGAGATAAAACTCTTTGTAAAGAGCATAGTGGAGAGCCTCTCTGTCGGAGAGAGCCAAGACAGAGTGTCTGTGGTTCAGTTTGCTGATAACCCTGAAGTCAACTTTGATCTGAATTCTCACAAGACAAAGAATGGCATTGTAAATGCCATAGATAATTTAAGGCACAAGGGTGGGAGGCGCCTTAATATCGGGAGAGCCCTCCAGTTTGTGAGGCACAATGTCTTTACTTCCTCAACGGGCAGTAGAAGACTAGAAGGAGTGCCCCAGATTTTAATTCTTCTAAGTACAAAACCATCCACTGATAATGTGAGAAGTCCAGCTTTTGCTCTTAAAGAGCATGAAATTGTATCTGTGGGGGTTGGAGTGGGAGATGCCAAGCTTTCAGAGTTGGAAATGATTGCCTTCAAACCTGGTTTCACGTACAAAGTCACTGATTTCTCCAAGTTGCCTTCAATCCAATCACAACTTGTTGGTACACTGAACATAAACAAAGACAATGAGGAAACCATGACTGGAATCTCTGATTTAGTAGGTAAGAATTCCACATTTAAATACAGGCCTAACATTGGAATACATTACATTATTTTTCCTCAAAAAAGCTTTTTCTCTCAAGACTAACATCATTTCCTAGAGTCTAATGATTGATGAAAAGGTAATTAATGATTATGAAATGTTTTGGCACATTTCTGTTGCATGAAACTGATGATTACCCTTGCAAGGAAATTATTTCTGTTGAAAAACCAACTGTTCTGTATTTCTTAAGCTTTCAAGAACATAGCCCTCTTTTACGCCTCTTATAAATTTTCCACTTTCTAATGTTGAAGAGGAGTCGACAAATTCTTTCATACATCTTTTTGATAAAAGATGGTTCTTTAGCAGTTCGGCTTGGAATAAAACTTTCAGAGCAATAGCACATCTTTCTTTCTTTGCTCAGTTTATTCCTCTGAACTTTATCATGCTGATGAATATGCATGAGGGTAGAAAAGACTTGAGTTGACAATTCGTGAATTCTCTTTCTATCTATCCATGTATCACCTAGTTGACACAGGGAGCAACAAGAGGGACATAGTGTTTCTCCTTGACGGGTCAGATGACTCCAGAAATGGACTACCAGCTATTCGAGAGTTCATCAGAAGAATGGCAGAAGAGCTGGACATCGATGAAGATAAAGTTCGAGTGGCTGTTGTACAGTATAGTGATGACACCAAAGTTTACTTCAACCTAAAAACTCATAGATCCAAAAAGGCTATCATCTATGCTGTAAGAAGTCTTCGCCATAAAGGAGGAAGACCACGGAACACTGGAGCTGCTCTGCAGTTTGTGCGAGACCATGTTTTCACTGCTTCATCTGGGAGTAGACGCCGGGAGGGAGTGCCTCAGATTCTGTTTTTACTGACTGGTGGCAAATCCAATGATGATGTTTCAGAAGCTGCGTCAAACCTAAAACAAATTGGTGTTCTGTCTTTCGCCATTGGAATGAAAAACACTGAACAGGAGGAACTTAAAAAAATTGCCTTCTCCTCCCGATTTCTTTTCAACCTTCCTGTCTTTGGTGAACTTTTGTCTGTTCAGCCAGGGATAGCTGCATTTGTCCAGACGGAAATACAAACTGTAGGTAAGAAGTGTGTCTATTAGTAGGTGAGACTCAAACTGAGACTCCCCCGCTTATATTTTAGTATTTGGTCTACTGTAGTTTGAATTGCAATGAAACTGTATCATCTTCTGAAGAATGTCAGTCGATCAGTTTCATGTTTCTCAAACTGTCTCCACTGTCTAGAGGCAACTTCGTGGTTGTGCTGTCTCTTGTTTGGCTCTGGCTTCCTTTGGCACCCTGGAGAGCCTTTTCTTGACAGCTCCACATCAGCAAATGTCCTTTCTTTCTGTTCTTAAGCTCTTCCTTGAGCCAATGATAATCACATCATTGACCAAATATTTAGGGTAAAAGAATATTGAAATCTTTTCTTAACAGGTTTTCTCCATCTTTCATTTGTGAAAGAGGAATATTCTCCTTATCTTGTAGTTACTTTCAAGTTTCTCAATAATTTCTTCATCTACAAGTTTTTTTTAATGTTCTGGCATCTAACACATTTATTGCTGTAATTTGTTTAAAATTCCATTTCCAGCTCCTATTGTTTTACCAACCATCTAATGTGTGATGATTGCAACATAACATATTGTATGTACTTATATGTATGATTCTTAAACAAGGTTTTCCTATTTTTTTCTAGTTGAATTAGAGTCCCCTCAAAGAGACATAGTGTTTCTATTGGATGGGTCAGATGATACACGGAGTGGTTTTCCAGCAATGAAAGATTTTGTCCAAAGAGTGGTAGACTCATTCGATGTTGGTGAGAACAAAGACCGTGTTTCTGTGGTCCAGTATAGCAGAGATCCACAGACACATTTCAGTTTGAACACCTACAAAGAAAAAACAGATGTTCTCGCTGCTGTCGAGCAATTAAACCATAAAGGGGGGACACCACTCAACACTGGGGCCGCTCTTGACTATGTGAGGAATAATGCTTTTTCTGATTCCTCTGGGAGTCGGCATCAAGATGGTGTCCCTCAGATACTGATTCTGCTGAGTGGGGGAAGATCTCAAGATGATGTTACAAGTGCTGCTGCAGCTCTAAAACAAGACAAAGTTGTTCCATTCTGTGTGGGTACAAGAAATGCAGACATACTCGAGCACCAAATGATTGCACATAACCCCTCCTACGCTTTCTCTGTGCTTCGGTTTGATGATATGGGGAGCATCCATCAACAACTTGTGTCATTTGTGAAAAGGGTGCCTCGACAACAGCCAAAACTAAAACCACAGAATGGTCTAGGTAAGGCTATCTATCTATCTATCTATCTATCTATCTATCTATCTATCTATCTATCTATCTATCTTGTTTCATTATTATATAAGTTATATAACTCTAACTGAGCAAAATCCATGTCTGTCAAAGTTTCTGCAGATCAAACTGAATCAATTCAGCGTGACGTAGTATTTTTACTGGATTCCTCGGATGAAATGCAAAATGATTTTAAAGCAATGCTTGGCTTTGTTGAGAGAATGGTGGAAAAACTCAATGTGGATGAGAACAAAGATCGCGTTTCAGTGGTGCAGTACAGCAGAGAGCCATCTGTTGATTTTTTTCTAAACACATTTAAGACCCAGCAGGATGTTGCTCGCAATGTGGGAATTCTGACACATAAAGGAGGCAGACCCCTCAATACTGGTGCAGCCCTCCAGTACGTCAAAGATAATGTTTTTGCAGTCTCTTCTGGAAGTAGGCACCAAAAGGGTGTCCCTCAGATTTTGGTTCTATTAACTGGCGGGCGGTCCAGTGATGATGTCAGAAATGCTGTACAAAGCTTGAAAGGAATTGGTGTGATGGTATTTGTGGTGGGAACAAAGAATGCAGATACCCTTGAGATTCAGTCTATGTCACAGAAAGCCAGTCATGCTTTCTTTGCAGCAGACTTCAGTGATCTGTCAGACATTGAACAACAAGTATTTTCTGCCATCACAAAGGGTGAAACCCCTGCTATCAAACAAGAATCATATGGTAAGACTGTAATGACTGTAATAACTTAATGTTGTACAAAGCATGTGGAACTTCATGAATTGTCAGATTAATGAATGAATTAATCTGAAAGAGACTGAACATTCGCAGGAATTACACAAATTACACAATAATCCAACTAATTTGCTTAAATGCTTGTGTGATTACAGATACCAATAGAAGAGATATTGTTTTTCTACTTGATGGTTCTGATGATTCACAGCAAAGATTCACAGATATTAAAGACTTTGTACAGAGAATAGTGACAGACCTAAACATTGGTGCAAACAAAGATCATGTAGCTGTGGTCCAGTACAGCAACACAGCAGAGGTTAATTTTAACCTGAGCCGGTACTCAACAGAGAATGATGTTTTTGATGCTATTAGAGGCCTAAGTCACAAAGGAGGTTATCCTCACAACATTGGAGCGGCTCTCCAGTATGTGAGGGAACATGTATTTACTTCTGACTCAGGAAGTAGACTCCTTGAGGGAGTTCCACAGATACTCATACTACTGAGTGGTGGAAGATCTGGAGATGACATAAGAACACCGGTCAGAATGCTGAAAGAGATTGGTGTCATTTCAATTGCCATCGGAACAACTGATGCTGACACCATAGAGCTGCAGACAATATCACATGAACCCAGTTATGCACTCTCAATTACTGATTATGAGGAACTTCCTACTGCAAAGCAGGATGTTTTTTCATTGTTAAGAGAGGCTTCCCATCATGTAGAGCAAACCACTCCCACAAAGGATTTAGGTAAGATGTATGAATGAATGGATCAAAATAAACTGAGATGATTTGTATTTAGGCCAATGACTGAATCTTAGGGGACTGTCACTGTGGCTGCTGTACCTGAAAATCACTTTGCCTTTGTTTCTACATGTTTTGTCTTTGTTGCAGATTCTAAGAAACAAGATGTAGTATTTCTTATTGATGGATCATATGACTCAGGAAATGGCTTTGAAGACATACGACGCTTTGTTGAAAAAATTGTTGGAAGTTTAAATATAGGTGAGAACAGAGACCAAGTGGCTGTTGTTCAATACAGCCGTGATGCCACAGTCAATTTCTACTTGAATTCCTATTCATCCAAGAATGATTTGCTCAATTCCATTGGAACAATGAGGCATAAGTTGGGAAGACCCCTCAACATTGGCAAAGCACTTGAGTTTGTCAGAGAAAATGTCTTTGCTGCTACAGTTGGAGGCAGACGTGCAGAAACAGTCCCTCAATATCTGTATGTATTTAGCGGTGGGAGATCAGGAGAT